CATCTCATGCCAGTTAGAATGGCGATCATTAAAAAATCTGGAGACAACAGATGCTGGAGAGGATGTGGAGAAATAGGAACACTTTTACACTGTTGGTGGGAGTGTAAATTAGTTCAACCGTTGTGGAAGACAGTGTGGCGATTCCTCAAGGACCTAGAAATAGAAATTCTATTTGACTCAGCAATCCCGTTACTGGGTATATGTCCACAGGATTATAAATCATTCTATTATAAAGGCATATGCACACATATGTTCATTGCTGCACTGTTTACAATAGCAAACACCTGGAACCAACTCAAATGCCCATCAATTATAGACTGGACAGGGAAAATGTGGCACATATACACCATGGAATACTATGCAGCCATCGAAAACGATGAGTTCATGTCCGTTGTAGGGACATGGATGAATCTGGAAACCATCATTCTCAGCAAACTGACCCAAGAACAGAAAATCAAACACCACGTGTTCTCACTCACAGGCGGGTGTTGAACAGTGAGAACACATGGACACAGGGAGGGGAGCATCACACACTGGGGTCTGTTGGGGGTGACTGGGGAGGGACAGCAGGTGGCAGGGAGTTGGGAAGGCATAACATGGGGAGAAATGCCAGATATAGGTGACGGGGTGATGGAGGCAGCAAACCACATTGCCATGTATGTACCTATGCAATAATCCTGCATTATCTGCACATGTACCCCAGAACCTAAAGTGCAATAAAAAAATCATATATATATATATGTATATATATGAAAATATGAAAGGATGGGAGCTTAGCTCCTATAATTAAACACTAAAATATGGAACAATACATAACAGGAACCAGCAAAGCCCCTAGAACGGTTGTCTAAGCCCCTGCACACTTTTTTTTGAGAACTTTTATATTTATATTTTGAAGTTTGAAGTGAGTGATTCCCAACCACACCGCAGATACACTGTAATGTGATGAGTGGTGAGGGGTGTCTCAAGTCACTTATGCCTGGTTAGAAGAGACTGAATTTGTAAATTATTTTATTTTTTAGTAAGTTAAAGCAAATTCAGGGTTATGACTGCAAAAATATCTTTCTTAATCATTCGAAAATGGAATTATATCCATTTGTGGGTGGGAAGAATGCAGTGAAGTCTGGGCCACTGGGAAAGACACGGTCCCCAACTCTCAACCTCCTGTGGGATTATTATGTCCGTGAAAATGTGCCACCCATGGGAACATCATCCAGCAAGCATATCACAGCTGAAAGCTGGCTGTGATAGGGCTGCTTCTTCCCCCTGTAACTTTTACAGGTTTATGTTTAAAACTCACACTAGCTATAAGGGGAAATGTAAATGAAATGTGGCAAAACTGAGAGATTCTGGGGGCTACCGGGTTGGACTGAATTCAGGTGGGAAAGCATATTGCTCTCATTACAACTGGCGGGGTATTTTGCCTGTAGAAAAAAATAAACTTGCTCTACCCCTGTGGATCTCAAACTTCATTTTTCATCGCAACCCATCTAAGGAGGACCCAAGAATTCATCACCCATCCGCCCTGTCCTTCATTACTGTTTGGAGAAGAAAGAACTGGGGATAATCAAGAACTGAAGAAGAGCAAAATCAATAAGTTAAATTTATTGTCAGCAACATATATAAATAGATTTAGTTATACTATGTAAAAGAAGCCTGTGAGTCTAAATAGTACACGTATATTATTATAGATGATGTTTTTAATCACCTATTAGTGTTAATACAATTAGTCCTATCACTGTACTTTCTTTGATAGTCTGTTGCAAATTAGTTAAACAGTGCATATATGCAGTATCACTAATGCCCGGTCACGGTTTGCACAGCTGGAATATGTACATTATAAGTGACTCTTTCTTGAACCACAGTTCATACAAACCTGAGTGTTTACTTATTGGAAATTTATGTGCTGAAATATGCATCACTATACACTCTAAGGGTAAACTGAACAGCACACAACCAGGTAAATTAAATTTAATGAAATTTCTAATTAGAAAGCTGTAACAGCAGTAATTGAAAACCATGATCAGCTCCATAAACTACTGATAATGTGCTTATGCCAAAGAATCTCTCCCCCAAAACTGAGAAATCTGGCTATATCTTCTGTGCATGTTCCTAGTAAGAGTTTTGCAAAGTTACCAAACAGATCATGTAAGCCAGACCCTTAAGTAGAATGCCAGGTTGTGGTCCTCAGTAAATTCTATAATGAGATGTTGATTTTAATGTATGAATACCAATTTAGTAGCCTTTAATTCATTCATTAAACAGTTGGGCGCCTTCCATATGCCTGACATTGGTGTATCATCCCTGTCCTCATGGATCTTCTTCCATGGACACAGATAATGAATAGATGAATGAGATATCTAGATATAGACACAGTTACTCATGTGTATGTTAGAAACTGTATTTGTATTTGTGTCGTGGAGAACAGAAGGCTGGAACTTTTTACTATATATATTTAAATAATTATCAGCTCATCTGTTCTCCACCACACACATACAAACTGGACAGATTTCAAATTTAAAGATTGGGTTTGGGAAGGCCCTACACAAAGTACAGACCATGTGGAGTATGTTAAACTCATGTTGGGGTACCAGGAGGGGGGTACCTAAAAAGATCATCCTCACAAGTTAAAGCAAATGTTAAACAGGAGGCCCACTGAAAACAAATACTCAGGCTTATTTCAAAGGATCTCATATTTGACACCAAATCTGAAGTCACAACTCCAGATTGGACTACCTTGCAAACATTGATATGCATTCTGGTGGCTTCTCCCATGAGTTACTCCAGGGTTAATGGTGATAAGAATTTATCTATTTAAAAAAACAATAATGATTTTCCAAGCACTTGAACATATGTTCAAGTTGTGATGTTATGGATGAGAAGATCAGAAAGACTGATGGGAGGACTTGTTTTAGATTGAGTGGCAAGGAAAGGCCTCTCTGGAGAGACGGCATGTAACCTAAAATATGAAGGATGAAAAGGCACCTGCCAAGCAGAGAGGGGTGGGCACAGAGAGAGGCGAGCAGCAGTGAAGGGGCCTGAGCTGGCAAGGAGCAGGGGTGTTCAGGCTACTGTGGCAAAGACATAGGGAGCAAAGAAGGGAGGTGTGAAGTGAGGGAGTTGGGGGAAGGGTAAACCAGCAGGGATACCAGGATGGAAGTGGAGAGGCCAGAGTGAAGGAGAGAGGTGAGAAGCTCAGATAAAAAAGAGTGGGACCCAGAATGGGATGATGTCTGGGGAAACAGAGGGAAGAAAACAGACCCAAGAAATGTGTTCAAGATTGATTGTACGGGACAGAGAATGGGAGGTGTCTAAAGAGACTTCCAAGCTCCTGATCTGAGCTTAGGAGGGAACGGCCAGCTACTGAGATGGGGAAGCTGAGATGTGGTGGAGTTCACCATTGCAAGTAAGTCACACTTAAAATATACATGAAGATGAAAGTCTGTGAGTGTTGTGGTCACTCATCCACAAAAGTGAGAGAGAGGGTTTCCGTTCATTTCCAGTTGAGTTTGTGCCCTTCGTGAAGGCACCTTGGACTCACCTCAAGCAGAGATCTGAACTTGAGTGTACGTTCATGTAAATTCACTAGTCAGATATGAATGCACTCAGGCATCACAAAACAATCACAGAAGACAAGAGTGAGCGCATGCTTGAGAATGTTTTCTGAAATGAGCAGAAGAGCTTTGATACCAGAAGACTTTATGTTGGAATTTGGCTTTCTATCTGTTACTAGAAAATATATCATCTGGAGTATTTAAAAGATAGATATTTAAATACTAAATAAATGTAAACCTCTCATATTATGTTTCTGGTTCTAGGCCATCTTAAATGGCTTCCTGAGTGATTTTCCTCCAGCTGTAAAGCAAACTGCATCAAGCATTGTAGAAGCCTCAGTTGAGATTTATAACAGAATGAGCGTTGACCTCCTGCCAACACCTGCCAAGTCACATTACATCTTTAACTTGAGGGACTTATCCAAATGTGTGCAAGGTACTGTACTGAACCCTTGTTTTCTGATCTTCGCCCTCCCTTTTTTTCCATTGACCTTCAGATCTCTCAGTAACATCGTATGCATGCAGGTGTCTGTGACTCACCTGGAAATCCCATCACCTGCCCCTGTTCAGGCTAAGTACTTCACAACTATTTCACATGGCCAATACCACCTCCCATTTCTCACTCCTAGCTGATTACTCTCTTTCACTGAAAAAAATAAAATAAAATAGAAGCAACTGGACCAGAGCTGCTTCATCTTCTAAATCTCCCAGACAGCTTGCATCTTCCTTCCCTGTGCTGAGCTGCCCCTGCATCTATCAGTGCCAATGGTCCTTCTAGCACCGAACCCCATCCCCTCCTGTCTACTCAAGGATTGTGCTCTCATAATTCCCACTTCTCATCTTCAGTGTTTCGTTTTTCATTAGATCATGCCTAACAGCATAGAAAGCCACTATCACATCTTCCATCTTAAAAAGAAATAATTTTCTTTCAGTCCCTTATTCCCTGTTGGTACCCCTCCCATTTCTCTGCTCTAAGTGGGACGGGGAGGAGAGACCATTCTGTCCCACTTATTCCCTCTGGTTCTCCCTTTAATATAAGTCAATCAAAGTCTGATACCCGATACTGCGCTAAACTGTTCTTCCTGAGTCCCGTCTCCATCTGCTCAGATCCACCGGTTAGCTCTCAGCAGCACCTTAACCTCACAGCAGTGTCCACACAACTTGCCCCTCCCCACCTTCTCCAGTGGTCCAGGAAAGGCTCCCCTGGGGTCCTCCCTCACCGCCTGCTGTCACTCAGTCTGTTTTGATAGCTGCTGCTCCTCTTCCCTACCTCAAAATGTTGGGGCCACAGGGCTTGATCTTCAGATCTATGCACATATTCCCTCAGTAATTTTGGTCAATTCTATAGCATCAACATCAAATACCATCTACTCAGAGATGGCACTGGAGTGCCTACCTCCAGCTCCCACCTCTCCTCTAAGTGTTTGACTTGCATATCCAGCTTCCTTCTCAGTGTGCTCCCTCAGGCATCCAGCTGGCCTGTGAAACTTGGCATGTCAAAATTGAATTCTTGCTTTTCCCTTCTACCCTGGCCATGTGTACATACCCCATCCCCAGAGAAGACTACCATTAGTTGATCTGGCCAGGAGCCTTGAAAACCCCTATGCAATCCACGAACAATCCTGACAGCTTTATTTTCAGAATATATCCCAAATCTAACCACTTCTCACCACCCCATCCACTACACCTCTAACTTCCTCTCCAATCTCCTGCTTCCAGTTGTCCGTTTACCCTGTTCAGAGGGACTCAGAGGCTGCTTCTAGCACCTGCCTGTGTTGAGTCTCTGTGTGATCTGGATCCAGGTTTCCTCTCCCTTTCATTGCCTACCACTTTCCTCCTTGCTACTGCCACCTCCTTGCCATTCCTGAAATCGGGCCTACCCACAGACCTCTGTATGTCACTTGGAATGCTCTGATACCAGATACCCATGTGGCTCACTCTCCCTGCTCAAATGTCACCTCCTCAGCAAAACTTTCCCATGTCCCTTCATAGCTCCTATTACCTGAAATCATACCACACATATTTCTCTGCATATACGTGTGTTTATGTATCTGTCTCTTCCACTAGGACATCAGCTCCCCAAGGGCTGTATGTATTTCACATGGCCAACTGCATCCCAGTGCCTAATTGGGCCTGGCAATGAATGAATGAATATCTAGATGAATAAACAAATCTCCCTTGATTTTGTATAAAAGGACACTAACTCTTAGTTGCTCCATGATCTACTTCACCCCTGACTCCCCAGCCAGTTCCCTTTGTTCTACACCACTCTGTTTGTTTGTTTGTTTGTTTTTTGTGAGATAGAGTTTTGCACTTGTTGCCCAGGCTGGAGTGCAGTGGTGCGATCTTGGCTCACCGCAACCTCTGCCTCCTGGGTTCAAGCAATTCTCCAGCCTCAGCCTCCCGAGTAGCTGAGACTACAGGTGCACACCACCACGCCCGGCTAATTTTTGTATTTTTAGTAGAGATGGGATTTTGCCATGTTGGCCAGGCTGGTTTTGAATTCCTGACCTCAGGTGATCCACCCGACTCAGCCTCCCAAAGTGCTGGGATTACAGGCCACTGTGCCCAGCCAATATTTTTTTTTCTCTAAAAAGAGTCTAACTAACATTTATAAGTTTGTTTTTAGTATCTGCAAAGTAGCCAAAGCAAAAGCTATGGAGTGCTTTCGTGTGAAGCGGAAGCAGTGATTGGCCCCTTTGAAAGCCAGCCCTCTTTCCTGTCTTCATCACAATCTAAGTCATTACCTGTTGTGCATTAACAAGCCTGGGAATGAGCTAGAAGATGCTGGCCCATGGCAGGAGCTTAGGCATGAAGAACCCTTCAGACCCCTCCTGCTCCTCCCTAATGGACAGTTCTCACACACGTTCCTGATCTCCCCAACTCCCATGTGCAGGCTCTGTGACTCTTTTCTTTTTCTTCCTCCTTCAAGAGCCTGAAGGACTGTCGAAGCTGGTATAGCATCCTTGCCACAGGATGGCACAATAATTTGCCTCTTCCTCCACTGAAATCTTACCATCTTATACGAGCAGTTTAGTCCTGTGATTCATGAACTCAATTTTCCTAGAAAACGTTAGAATATGGCTTTCTTTCATGAACTGCTTCAGACTCACTTCCTGATCCTCAGACATTGTCTAATCTAGTCATTTATTTATTATCCTTCCCCATTGCCTTTCTATTCCTATTTTTAAGATAATTTTTGAGCTTCAAAATTCAGGACTTTATCTCTGAAATTACACATCATAAAATACCCAGGAAATTCCAATGTTGAATCTCTTTCTCCTTGTCCCCACATTTCATCCAAAGGTCCTAGAAATTTCCTTATTTCTACAAATATTAACTGAAAATAATTAAAACTTCAAGCATTTCAAGAAATATATATGTCAAACACACACACAGACACAAATGTGAGATGCAAAAAGAAAAAAAAGGTAGCATCATTATCTGTAGAAATACTCTAGTATTCTAAAGCAACATGAGCAGTAGCTACCATGCTATGTGGTACACACTATCTGCTGAGTGTGCCCACGTGCACAGTAGACACTGTCCCTGCCCCTGCCTACAGTGTGAGGAGCCCCATATTGCTGGTCCCTGTGGAGAAGGACCATTTCCAGGAATTCCTACACATTGTTGCTTTGATTGTAACTTGAAATCATTAGAACTGTGTTTGCAATAACAATTAACATTAATGAAATGAGTACTCAGAATGATCTTAGTAGAAGCCAGAAGGTCCAGGGCATTTGGTAAGAACTGAACATTGGGGAAGAAAGAGAGAGAAATGGGTGATTGAGAAACAGTATAAGCATTGGGAGGGGGAAAGTTGCGAGATAAGTAAATATATATACTCTAGTATATTTTAAAGTAATGTGAGACTCTTCACTTAACATACTGCAACCTATGTAATAATGAGATGAACCTTGCTTATATTGTGAAGTTTGACCACGTAAAATACTCAGTTAAAGAAACATCACAAAACAGGGAAAAAAATGTTTTTGTAAAATAATGTGTCACAGTTTTGTTATCAAAAAATGAGGTCACTATTAGTATATGTGTATATCTACTAGGGAAGCATTCATTTTTGGCAATATAGGGATAAAGTTGTACTTAAGGATTTCCTAATTAAACTATTACTAGAGATTACAAAAATGTAGAATTTTTCTTTTTTTTTTTTTCTTTTTCTAAAAAACAGGTATCCTCCAATGTGATTCAGGAACAATAAGAGAAGAAATTCAGATATTTAGACTCTTTTGCCACGAGTGCCAAAGAGTCTTCCATGATCGCTTGATTAATAATGAAGATAAGCACTATTTCCATGTTATTCTGACAGAAATGGCCAGTAAATATGAATCTTTATTTAGCTATTCTTTTTTTATTTGAGTAGAAAAGCAATTTGGTTTCTGTTAATTTAACACAAAATGAATTTTCATCATTTATGAGTTAAAATTATTTTCTTTGATGGTTCAAATATTTAAAATATATGAAATATTATGTAATATTATAAAATAATTTTATTAAGATTCAGGAAGGGTCAGCCAGGCATGATGGCTCATGCCTATAATCCCAGCACTTTGGGTGGCTGGGTGGGTGGATCCCTTGGGCTCAGGAGTTTGAGACCAGCCTGGGCAACAAGGCAAGACCCCATCTCTACTAAAAATACAAAAATAAATAAATAAATTCAGGAAGCATTAATATTTTAATTTATTATGAGGTTTTAAGTAGGGGAGAGAAAGTAGGAGAAACAGTATTTTGACTGATAAGAAGCCAAGATAATTCTAAAGTACTTCTTATTTCTTATATAAGTATCCAATATTCATTATTTAAGAAATGTTTTAAATTATTTGTTAAGTATCGTTACTCTTAAACTTGGGAGATTATCAGCCAAACTAAAGTGGCATGTGTTAACACAGTATTCTCTTAGTTTTATATATATATTAATTAAGTCTTCTAAGTAAAGTAGCAGCTATATATTCTATATGTTTTATCACTAAAATATTGCATTCAAGATTATCATTACATTAAAAACTTGATTTTGTTCTTTAAATAGATAAACATTTTGGAATTGCAATTGGCCTGGAATATTTTTTGAATAAGCCCATCATATTTGGAGATTTCATTAAGGCAAGTATGTTAGACTGACTTGACCTCATTTGAAAATGCAACAATCTTGCATGTTCTTCACATGTACCCCAAAACCTAAAATGCAATAAAATAAATAAATGGGAAAAAAAAAAAGAAAAAGAAAAAAATTATAAAGCAGTTACTATTTTCCAATGCAAATTCATATTATATAAAAACTTCACCTGTGTGAAGAGTTAAGATCTAGGCCAGGTGTCAGCCAACTTTTATCTGCCTGCCACCTATTTTTGTAAACAAAATTCTCTGGAACATAGCCACAACCAGTGGTTGCTTTTGCTCTACAACAGCAGAGTGCAGTAATAGTGACAAAGACTATATGACTTGCAAAGCCTAAAATATTTACTATCTGGCCCTTTACAGAAGAAGTTTGCTGACTCTTGATCTAATTACATTCATTTTGGAAACACTTTGAATCAGAGAGCCATCTGGTATTCAATTTGGAAGAAAGCAGAGAGGTCTAGTCTCTTAACTCAGGAATTCCCCCTTGTTATACTCTGCATAGTGAAGCTACTTGGTTAAGAGAATTGTCCTCTTCATTTCAGGGTAACTCTAATTAGTAGCAAATTTTGTATTACATTTAACTTCCTTTGTATTCCCTTGTGAGTTCCTCAAGCCTGTCTCCACAATACTACCTACCTAATTTTTACCCTCTAAACCTAATTTTACCTTCTGGTAATTTTTACCCTCTAGACCTGCCTAGAATAAATCTACTATCTCACTCCCCTACCTACATTGGCAGATAATCATGTTGTTTTACTAAGGTGCCCCTTGTTCAAGTAAAACATTCCTACTGTCTCCAAGAGGGCAGAGACCACATCTGTTTTTGTTCATCTTAAGTTCCCAGGTTCCTGCACAGAGTTACATAGCAGGCTCCCAATCAATGCCAACACATAAAGGAACTCGTCTTTACATTATATGTATACAGTACCTCACTGCTCTGGTAACTCCACTCTAGATAAGTGTTACACTTGACAAATAAAAAAGATAAACTATGTATTTTTGTAAAGTATATATTTATTATTAAAAGTATGGTCCAAAGTTTGTTTCCCAAGATTATTTTCCTGTGTGTTTCTAGTTATTGTATTATCAGATGAGGGAATAAACAGAAAGGAACAGCTAGACTCTTCTTGCATTGCCTATGTGTGTTTTAGTAAAAGAGTCCAGGAGAAAGTGCCCCTGGGGCAGTTTGCTACATACAATAGAGAGGAGACATCATCAATAGATTAAAATAAGGACTTGACTCCCTATAGTTTACACCTGAATTTCATTCTCAACAAATTTAGGTAACCCTAGATGACTGCTATTTAAAAACTACAAATAGTTCTGGCATGATTTTTTTATAATAATGGCAGTCTATTATGCACAGTTTTTAACCAGTTAGCTTTTCTAATGTCAGTAACCTAACAGCAAAAATATGAAACCAGGTTGGGCGCGGTGGCTCACACCTATAATTCCAGCACTTCGGGAAGCAGAGGTGGGTGGATCATTTGAGGTCAGGAGCTGTAGACCGGTCAATATGGTGAAACCCCATCTCTACTAAAAATACAAAAATAAGCTGGGCATGGTGGTGGACACTTGTCATCCCAGCTACTCAGGAGGCTGAGGCAGGAAAGTCACTTGAACCCGGGAGGCAAAGGTTGTAGTGAGCCGATCGCACCACTGCACTCCAGTCTGGGTAACAGAGAAGCCATCTCAAAAAAAAAAAAAAAAATGAAACCAGAATGTAGAATTGTGAGAAAAATCAAAAGTCTATTTCGGAGCTTCTACATAAATTTTATTGCAAAGATCTTCAGACTTCTAGTGTAGCTCTTAAAGAAGTTGAATGAAATGGATTTTCCAGATTATGCATGTTATGAATATGTTCTATCAGAATTGATCCAACTTGTTTCTTCTCCCATAAATTATAGTTTGGAGCAGATAAAGCTGATCGGATTTATGATGACATGCCTGATATAGAGAAAATTGGAAATGTTCTACAGGACTATCTTGACGATTATAATCTCACAAATCCCAAAGAAGTAAAGTTGGTGTTCTTCCAGGATGCTGTAGAACATGTTTCAAGGTATAGTGCTATAAGACGCCCAATAATGCATTGATTTAATTTTTTTGTAATAAAGGGTTAAAAAAAATAAGTTGTATAAAACTCTTTAAACAGATTGCTAGATGGTCAGAGGTCTTTTATTAATTCTCACTATAACTTGAGTCATTGTTTAATTTATTTTGTATATTTATGGAATGAGCTTTCTATATAATACCCAGAGTCATTATTTTTGTTAAATATTAGCAGATGGTTTTTGTTCGTTTTTATCTGTCCTGTCTTGTTACAAAAGGATATGGGGTAGTTTACAGAGATACATGTACAGCATAACAAAGCTAATTCCATGCATGCCTAAAGAAAGGGGAGCTTCAAAATTAGAGCAAAACAAGTTCGATCCAGGATCATACATTTCACCTGCTTGTGAGTCTCACTCTTATCCACTGCAAATGTCCTATGAGGGCACTTGGCACATTCATGAGCATCCAGTCTAAATATCTGCAGGCCTTGGGGCACACTTTCGGAATTGGCTCCTGTCCTGTTGGACAGTTCTAATGTTGAGATGATTCTTCCAGAATAAGCGAACCTCTACTTCCTGTGCTTCTGGTATCCATTCCATCCTGTGGAGTAGTCATGATTTAAGGCACTCAGTGTGGGTATGAAACCATGATATGGAGCATCTCATTTACCTGGTAAAACACTCTCTCTATAGCTCGGTATCATAATCTCTTTACGAATAAATCTCAGAGAATGTCCCAGTGGTATATTGCTACATAACAAGCCACTCCTACCCTTAGTAGATTCATTTTATCATCTCTCAATTTTCCCAGCTGTTCTTTCTGGGCATCTCTCTTGCAGTTGCAGTCAGACAGCCGCTTGAGTGCCTGGAGCATCTCTGCTTCCATGTAGTCTCTCCACTTGTCTCTCAGCATGACAGCATCAGGGTATCTGGACTTCTCACAGGGTGGCTCAGGGCTCCAAAAGCAAGTGCTCCAAGACAGAGAGCCAGGCAGAAGCCAAACGGCCTTTTTGACGTAGCCTTGGAAGTCACATAGCATCATTTTTACCATGCTCTTCTAGTCAGTACAGTCATACAGGTCCACTCAGGGTCATAAGAAGAGGACAGACACCCTGTCTCTTGATGGGATCAAAGAGCCAGTAGGACTAGAGGCATTATTGCAGCCATTGTTTGGACAACACAGTGTGCCACAGAGAGGTTAGGTAAATGGTCCAAAGTCCTCTAGTCAGTGAGTGGCAGGTGGGGATCACAGCCAGTACTTCAGCTCTAACTCTACTACGGGTGCCCCTTCCCAAACTTGGCTCACTTTTTTCATAACATCCCTCCAAATATTTGAAAATTATTTCCATATTCTTCTTAGCTTTATCCTCTCTAAGCAAAATTATCCCATGTCTTTCTTATTGACTATTGGAGATTTATTTCCAGCCTTCACATACTGAGCACTTTATAATTTTTCAAGGTTCTACTTAAAATATAGCATCTAGATTTGATATCAGATTCTGTGGAATAAATACAGTAAAATACAGTGAAAGCAGGATTTCCCATGGTCGACTGCTGCAGCAAGATTTTCATGGCTTTGGTTTTTTTTCCTGTGTCAACTACATTTTAGCATTAGTTCTTGTTAAGACTGACAGTTAAATCCCCAGAATTTTTTCACATAAACCATAAGCAAATAAAGTCTTTACCTTTTCCATATTTCAGCTCTTTAATTAATCCTAATTCAAGATTTATGTTTGTTACAGATTAAGTGTTATAACATAGGTCGTTTGTCACTGGCCTGTCCAGATGCCACTTGCTTCCCCTCTGTCCCTCTGACAGCATACCCACATGCTATCCCGTAACAATTTTTATTCCCATCACTCAGGCAGGCCCTAAGCCTGCAAGGAAAAAAAAATAATGGCAGCATTTTGGTCTGAGAAACTTCCTGGAGAATAGACCAGACCATAGACAAAGTTGGTTTAATTCTATTTATAATCTTTCTTGCTCTTGTGAAAAAGAATTACCAGGACCCTCAAGGTTTGCTTAAAATATTATAGAAGGAAATTAAAATCCATTTGTAGAGTGGTGAAGATTTGGTTTTCAGATGCACAAAGGACAGCCATGTCAGTAATGTTGTAGACTGTTCTCTTTTATTCAAGAGAGGATCAGTAGTTAGGAATCAGAGAAAACATATCTCTGCTTATAAGAGCTTTCAAACACCTAATGCTGATTAGCAATGGAAAGGACTTTGTTATGAAAGTGACTTATGGATTAATTACTAAATGGTAATTTAGCACATACTATATTTCCATTTGTTGGTGACATTTTAGTTTTTGGCTTTTTGACATAGGGTAAGTAAATAAAAGTCTTCTAACTCAGGGGAAATTTTGCTTTACAGCCTGTGCTTTCGAAGAGCAAATACACTAGGCACTTTCTGCCCATTGTATGTCACCAAAGTTGGCATCACACTCCAAGAATAGTAGAATAAATCTATTAATATATAAGCCAGTAATTAGGAGAATCATCTCTTGCCTACTACATAAGAGAACATGTAACTTACCTACTACATTAGAGGATTCTTACTGGGGGAAGTTTTCAATCCATTTACAAGTAAATTGGCAGAAAAAAAAACACTACAAAGCAGAACAGACAAGTAATTTGTTTTTGTTGTTGTTGTTGTTGTTGTTGTTGTTTTTTACATACTATGTAACTCCATTTATATAACATGCTGGAATAAAAACAGTAGAGGAATAACCAAATCAGTGGCTTTCAGGGGCTGGGGTTGGGTAAGGGGACTCCCTACACAGAAGCCCAGGGGAAACTTTTGGAATGATCAGGTCATTCCATTTGTTTATGGTGATAGTTATGTGACTGTACACATTTCTTAAACCTCATTGTACTGTATAATTAAAGATGTGAATTTTACTGTTTGTAAATTATATCTCAGTAAACCTGACTAAAAAACTAAATTAAAAAACCCAACTAAAGCAAATGAAAAAAATTCTGAGTGGCTATATCCCTATAAATGTATTTTATTTTTAAAATATAAAATATATATAAATTTTATATATATATAATATATATATAATTATATATAAAATAAATTATATATAAAATAAAATAATAAAAAACTATATATATAAATTTATATAATATATATTAAAAATATAAAATATATATAAATTTTATATATATTTATATAAAATATATAGATTTAAAATATATATATTTTTTATTGCATTTTAGTTTTGGGGGTCGTGAAAAACATGCAAAATTGTTGCATAGGCATACATGTGGCAGTGTGATTTGCTGCCTTCCTCCCCCTCACCTATATCTGGCATTTCTCCCCATGCCATCCCCCCACAACTCGCCACCTCCCGCTGACCCTCCCCTATTTCCCCCCAACAGACCCCAGTGTGTAGTGCTCCCCTCCCTGTGTCCATGTGTTCTCATTGTTCAACACCTGCCTATGAGTGAGAAAATATGGTGTTTGATTTTCTGCTCCTGTGTCAGTTAGCTGAGAATGATTGCTTCCAGGTTCATCCATGTCCCTACAAAGGACACAAACTCATCATTTTTGATGGCTGCATAATATTCCATGGTGTATATATGCCACATTTTCCCTGTCCAGTCTATCATCGATGGGCATTTGGGTTGGTTCCAGGTCTTTGCTATTGAAAACAGTGCTGCAATGAACATAAGCAAATAGACCTCTGATGTGTCTTTCATTAGATGTGTATTGTGGCAGACACATAGCAATGACAATGGTGCCTATGGGTCTTTATTGTTCTAATAGAGGAGTTGGCCAAAAGTTCTGGGGAAGAGGTTGACAAACTGCTCTTGTAAAGGGCTAGGTAGAAAATATTTCAGGCTCTGCAGATCACACTGTAACTACTCAATCTTGCTGTCATAATGCATAAGCAGCCACAGACAGTAAGTGAATGAATGAGCTTGGCTATGTTTCAACAGAACTTTATTTATAGACACTGATATTTGAGTTTCAAAGGATTTTCACATATGAAATATTACTTTTTAAAGATTTTTTTCAACCATTAAAAGGAAATCTAAAAACTATTCTTAGCTCATGGGCCCTTAAAAAACTACACGGTGAAGAGGCATGATTTGGCCCACAGGCCATAGTTTGCTGACCCCTCTTTTAGACAAAGCCATCTTACCAAGGCATTTAAGGTATAGAAAAAGTGGACCTGTCTGAGGAGCAGGAGAGGGTTTAAAAGTGGAGGAAACAAATTTGAAAGCTTGATTCTTATTTCAGAAGATCCTAAATAATAACTGGGAGTCTGTGCTTTATACTGGAGGAAGTCTTGTTAAATAAGTCCTTGTAGACTCCTTGTTCTGTTCTTACACTACATAGCTCTTATCTCCCACCATCATGTATAATGACTAATCAGTGTTCTCTCCTTCATAACTGTTGCAGTCTCTAGAAGTTGGATACTTGAATGTAAAATTGATGGAGCACCCACTAAATATTATGCACTGTTCTCATAGAGAACTGGACAGCATCCAGTCCCCCATGATGGAGTTTTATGTGTGGGGAAGAGTTAGCAACAGTTTTTTCTCATGAGTTACAGTGACCTGTGATATTTTCATAGTCAAAAAATAATAGTCACTACAATTTTAAAATATTTGAACATTGTTTTCTTCAGTTTTCAGCAATATAAGTAATCTAGATAGATAGATGAAAGAGAGAGAGAGAGAGAGAGAGAGAAACTTCCCAGAAGAAGAAGGAGAAAGAGGAAAAATGACTAAACCTGCTTTTACATTTCTCTCATGATTTCTAGTTTCTGCTAGCCCAGTCTAAAATTTTAGATAATGGTGATGATAACTTTTTGATTATGTTTACAATTTGTATCTCCTTAAGACAAATTTGTTGACATTGTCTCTTCCTTTTCTGTCATCTTAACAACAACATATAGAACTGATTCTCATCCATACTGGTCACCTTTATATTATATCCCTTCCCACTTCCCAGGTTTTTACATTTTATTCATACTTCTGTATATCTTCAAGGAATCTTTTAAGGGGGGTTTGCAGATTATTTATTCTCTGAGCCATAACATGGTATTTTTCTACCTCCAACCATTGTCTTATATAATGTCATCTTGTAGAATAGATGTCTGAAGCCAGCTTAAAATATTTGGTCCTTTGGGGATAATCTATTATTTCTGCATTAGATAATCATAAGCTTTTCAGTTATGTCTAAAACATAGATTTCAGCTCTAAAATCTCTGTATGTAAATTACTTATAGATCTCCTAGGAAATATTTACTGTTTTGCCTCTCCTCTTTTCCTTTCTTAATCTTTGGGTCTGTGGGTTCAGCTCCAGTAGCTTATTCTATTATGCCAGTCACCATTGCCTCAGTTCTATTCCCTCTTCTCATTCCTGTAATTTCTATGATGTGGCCTCTGGGATCCCATTTGTTTCAGATTTGCCCTCCTTATCTTCCATTTTATCTCTCATTATTTTAAGATTGCAATCTTTTTTCTGAGTTCTGGGTCCATTCCTGGAGTTTGGCCTCTACTTTTTCTGTTCAACTCTCCGTGGTATTGTGGTTGTGAGACTCATCACCTTCCACTCAGGTTTTCGGTTTAGTGGATCTTCCATCTCTATCCAACTTTTCCTAAATTTGGAGGATTTTTTCCTCCTTTCTGAGGCTCACTCCAGTATCATGATCACAGTTCTTTTGAAAATTCCTGTTAACATGTATCTTAACAGGAATTAACATGAAACTTTCTAAACTTTTGTTGGTATCCTGTAGTAAATCCATCTCAAAGTGTTCTGTTGATCTCTCCTTCTGCACTATGGTGTCTTTTTCTAGGTTCAGTGATTTTTCTGCTTGCTCATTCTTATAAATGGAAACCCAGGCTTGCCGATTGACAATATAAGTTGTGGCCTAGATCGGCTAAGGTCTCCAACAAAGTTCTTCAGACTTCAAGGAAAAGAGATTTTACTGTATTCTAAATTTGTACAACTAGAGCCGAGACCTAACAGCCTGTTAGGAATGGGGGAAAGAATGAAGAAGAGAAAAGCCCAGCAGTGCTATTCACCAAACCTTGGCCTGAGATGCAGGCTGCTCTTCCCTTGCAGCATCCTGTCCAGGGAGGAGCCTCCACTGGCCACCAGCCTTCCATGCTGGGGCAGGCTCTCTGAGCAGAAGCCAAGTCTGTGAACTTGAAATAAACCTTTCTCTGCTCTGATGTTTGCAGGATTGCTCGGATGATACGTCAAGAAAGAGGCAATGCCCTGCTTGTGGGAGTAGGAGGCACAGGAAAGCAGTCTCTCACGAGACTCGCAGCTCATATATGTGGCTACAAATGTTTGCAGATTGAACTCAGCCGGGGATATAATTATGACAGTTTTCATGAAGACCTGAGGAAGTTGTACAAAATGGCTGGTGTAGAAGACAAGAATATGGTTTTCCTTTTCACTGACACCCAGGTATGTGTTTAGATAGCCCATGGGTAAGAACAGGAAATGTATGGGTGTTACAGTCGGGCATGTGCTTTGAACGCTGTGTAGGATGAAGTTCAAGGGATTGTTCCCTTTGATAACAGATTTCCTGCAGCTTGTAAAAGACTTTTATAATACATTTTTATTTATTTTACCAAATATTGTTTCCCTCTTTAAATTCTTAGCAATTGCATTTGATCAAAGGTCGAGCAGGTAAGTTTTTAACTTTTCTTTGAGGGAAAAGCCAAAGATAACAGAAGGTAATAAACTGTATAAAAGTGCATATAAGAAAATAATTTACTAAAAATTCAATTACAGAAACATGATTTACCCACAGAAAGTAAAAAATAAGGGCTCTATTTTTGGTTAAATTACCTTTAAATTGAAGTAGGATTACATCTATAACTACAACAGCCAACTTGAATTAATTCTATAGTGGAAGACTTTCTACGTTGGATACTCTTGAGTATTTTGTCTTTAGAGAAAATAAACCCATCTAGAAGTTGGCCAAGGAATTAAAAAGTGATAGATTTGATGCATACATGTTTTAAAAATATTGTAAGCAGAATTAAATACAAACACAAAATGGGAAAAATATTTTTAATATCTGTAGCATGCAATGAGTTTATATCTTAGTATAAAAATACCTATTACAAATGAAAAAGGAAAAACCCACATCTGTAGAAGAAATAGAAAAAAATGTGATAGAATATAAATACACAGTTCCAAAAAACAAAGGACTTTAAACACCTGAAGAAATTTTCAACCTCACCACTGATGAAGGAAATTGTGATAAATAAAAATGCCAATGGCTTGGCCTTACAAATTAATAAAGGTTAAAAATAATAATATACAGAGTTGGAAAAGGTATAGGAATAATAGACTTGTTTATACTTCACTGGGTGATTATAAACTAGCAAAATCGTTCTGGAAGGTAATTGGCAATATGTAAGTAAAGCCTTCACATTTCTTTTACGTTATAATAAAAGCTACATACAAAATTACATGTTTAAGAATATCTATTGTAATTTTTTTAAATAATAATCTGAAAGAGTATTAATGTCCAGTGAAAGAAAGTCATATACATAAAATCTGATATAACCATATACTAGAGCACTATGTAAAAACTTTAAAATTATAGCAACATACACATTTTAATGTATATCTAGACATGTATGTCCTATGTACAAAGAGAAAACATTTGAATCATGGGATTGTGAGTGATTTCTATTTTCTTAATTTTGCTTATCTGTAATTTCTAATTTTCCTAAAATTAAGATATTTCTGATAGTTTTTTTTTTTCTGGAACAAACATCTTTAAGAAATCAAATAAATACGGTAAATATGATGGTAGCAATTTCACAAGTATACAAGACAAAGCTTAGAATTATTTGCTCAAAAGTTATTCAGAATGGAACAAAATTGTTCAAATGCTCCCAATTAGCACAGATTGTATTACTTGCTTTTCAATTGACATTTACTATTTTACAGTAAGATCTACTTATCATAGGAACAAAGAGACCATTCCCAGCCCCCTCTGGTGTATCACCTAAAAGGCTGAGTACAAATGTTAATGTAATCCAAGCTTTGCTTTGGCTACTATCCTAAATAATGCCTTACAACTTTTTACAAGTACTGGTATCAACAGTTTCTCTGAGGGAAAGGAAATACAAGAATATTAAGTGACAGAAACAACAAATTTCACTGTGGCCTGCAACTGCTCCCAGCCTTTTATTTCACAAACATGGATCCAGGTTGTCACATTATAGCAGGATCACTATTCCTAGCCTCTGGCAGAAGCAGACATGTGACACTCAGCACTGCACAAGTGTTTCTTTGGCTTCCTGAGTAGTGCTGTGTATACTGCCTATACATTTTTATAACATCTCTAAATGTATAAATAAATTAACATTTATTATGTCCTATCTCATTTCATTCCCAACTGCAGAATATTTAGTTTTAAATATTTAGTTTTAAATCTATTTACCAAATCTTGACTATGACATTTGTTTTGAGATTGTTACATTAAGATCAACCTATCTGAGCTGGACACGGTGGCTCACGCCGGTAATCCCAGCACTTTGGGAGACTGAGGCAGGAGAATCACTTGGAGTCAGGAGGCCAAGGTTGCAGAGAGCCAAGTACCATTGCACTCCAGCCTGGGCAACAGAGCGAAGCTCCCTCTCAAAAAAGCAAAAGATCAACCTATCTAAATTGGGCAAGTCAAAATCTTATTCCCAATTTTTAAATAAAAATACTTATTTTTGATAACAAGCTCTTTATAAATAACACTGTTCACAAGGAAATACCAATTGATATGCGACATGAAACAGAATGTACTATTTTTAAATATAGAAGGAATTTCATTAGGTTTAGATAAGCTGAGACTACACAAAAGTTTTCCAGGTGATTTAATTAAAGTAACTTACAATGTACACATTCCCGAGTATGCACCATTGTGGTGACATTGTTTCAGAATTTTCTGCATTCAGCTTAAAAGGTGCTTCTGCCCAAGAAACTGAACTTTTCTGTCAATTGCACTTGATCGAATAGGAGAATTGGGTTCATGAAATGGATTCATTGAAAACTTTATATATAAATCATAAACATCAGTAAAAAAGTTCTTTATTCTATCTTCTTGTCTTATGTCATGAAGCATAATAAATCTCATATGCCCTGCGGTGACATGTGCTGACACAAACCACTCGTTGAACTTGTCCACAGTTTTCAAGAATGTGTTGTTCAATAGCCAAATGTTCTCATCTGCAAGGTCGAGAGCAGCATGAGCTCTGAACTGGTTCAGATGACAATGGTCAGGATTCTGCCTTCCCAGCTGGCAAAACCTCCATTTCAAAAACTGGATTATCACAGTGTCCAACAATTACAAAGTAGAAGCTCCCAGACATGGTCTTCAGTATACGGCTCCTGCAGCAAGAGGCCAACAACGGAAACCTCTGATAGTCTTTTTAACATTGCCCTTAAAAATCAAACAAATTATGTAAAAAGTCTCCAAAGCCCCAAAGATCAAACTATATTGTGTTAGTTCTCTTCAGACAAAAAGCTATTATATTCTGTTGGAAGTCCTGATCAACCTCAAATGTTCTAGAGTAACAAATACTAAGCGTAACCATAAAAATAAAAATGCGTATTCTATACATGGACTTATATGTATACACAAAACTATTATAAATGTGAGAAGAAATTGAGAGAAACAAGATATTAAAAATAGAGTTTAATTGGCTATAACAAAGTAGAAATAAGTATGATTAGATATTTTGCATAATATAATTTCTAAGCTACAATTAATAGCTATATACTATAGTTCATATTTTACAGAGAAAGCAAATATTTTCTAATATTACTGAATGTTTACAGAAATTAATCATGTATTAGATTTTTAAAGAAATTTTTATTAAATTGTTAAAAGTATAAGCTGTACTCATAACATTCTTTACCCATGCTTTAATCAAAGGAGAAATTAATGATGTGTCTTAGGACTTTAAAACATTCATATAAAGATCAAGAAAATCAAAATCTCTTAGAGATTAGGAAAAATAAACAAGATAAATAAAAATCTGTAGAATGCAACCAAACAGTTCTCAAATTTACATTTATAGATTTGAATCAAAAATTAGAAACTACACAAATTAATTTTCTTAAAACTTTAGGAGGGAAAAATGTCACAAGAGAAATAAGAAAATGAAACAAGATAAAAGCAAATATGAATTAAAACAAAGAAAATTACTGTTTGTTCCTAGGGGAAATTGACAGACACAATTATACCAAGTTCATTAAGAAAAACAAAAAGTGTCAAATGAAGAAAATAAACAAACTTATCTTGTCATAGAAAAATATATAATACTCAAACTTCTATATAACTAAAAAGTTCACTGAAAAAAAGGTAAATGAGAGATTACTTTTAAAAATTTGCATCAATGTTGAGAGACAAAAAGTCTATTTCAAAACATGTAAATTACTCATGCAAATTTGAAAGAAAACTCCAAGATGCAGATGTTTGCAGAGTTTAGGCAGATTTTTTAATGGACAATAATAAATATGGGATAATATTTTCCCTTGCTAATAATCAAAAACATCCAAAATAAATTCTCCAAAAGAAGCATTTATTACACTTCGCAAATTAACAAAAATAAATGTTAAATATTAATGAAGTCACAGTTGAATTGAATGAGAAATAGTAAAATCTTCAAAATCCAGAAAATATTTATGCATTTATGCATTTATCCAACTGAGGAGAAAAACTATATGCCAAAAATTGTTCTCATAATGTAAACAAGACTGTAAACGATCTCTGTCCATGTAAATGTATGGTGCATCAGCTCAATGGTGCATTGTGCTTCTATATTTGTGATCAATATGATGAGTACTGTACAGAACTATGGGTTAGTATTAATGATAAAATGATAACTGAAAGGGGCAGAATATAAAATACTTGCACATATGACTTGACCCAGGTAAAATATGAATGCCTGCTAAGAAACAAAACATAAAGAAAAAATGAAAAATCAGTGTACTCGCTGTGTTAGAACTTCAGGGTTCCATGTAATTTTTAAGATTATCTTCTCTTAAAGATGAAATTGATTCATTTGAATTTTAGAACAAATATTTGCTTTAAAAAATAAATGGAAAATGATTGGGCAAGTTGTAATGATCACCATTTTCTTCTACAGATTGTAGTGGAGGAGTTCCTAGAGGATATAAATAACATCCTGAACTCAGGTGAAGTGCCTAATTTATTTGAAAAGGATGAACTGGAGCAGGTTTTAGCGGCCACTAGACCAAAAGCAAAAGAAGTAGGAATTTCCGAGGGGAACAGAGACGAGGTAGGACATGCCAGAGTCATTATGTGGCTTTGTCACAAAAAGTTTCCTTCACCTTTTACTTAACCATTCATACATCCCCTTAAGGGGTCCATGAATAGAATTTTTTTCAATATAATTGGTTTCCTTTGTATTCTATGTATTTTATTTTCGATATTTAAAGCATTGGTTCACCAGACTTACAGAAAGTTCTGTCAGAAGCAGAAAACAGAAATCCCACTGCCCCACAGAGGTCATAGTCTTGTCCAAACTGGCTAGCCTCCCTTACTTCTCTTTAAGCACCAGTTGATTTCACACACTGCAACGTCCTGCCTGTAGAGGGCTGAAGGCATGAGCCTAGTATTGATGCCCTTGCCTAGCAGCAACATTATGACACGGCAAAGCAGAAATGCGTTTTCTCTCACTCTCTCGGGAACATTGCAGCTGCTCTTTATTTCCATTTCTCCAACACGATAATAATCCCATGCACCGTTACTTGTTCACCCTAGCTTTTTTCCTTGTTTCTATAACTTCTTTAAATTTCTGGCTGTTCTTTCTCATATCTGTACTATTTCCCTTTGTGAGAATTTTCTCTACTGCTAGGTCAGAGATTATAGGTACAGACACAAGCCCACTTCTGCTAATGTAAGCACGAAGGGATTTTTTGTTTGTTTGTTTGGGATGGAGTCTCACTCTGTCACCAGGCTGGAGTGCAGTGGCACAATCTCAGCCCAGTGCAACTTCCGCCTTCTGGGTCCGAGCAATTCTCCTACCTCAGCCTCCCAAGTAGCTGGGACTACAGGAGCATACTACCACGTCCAGCTAATTTTTGTATTTTTAATAGAAACGGAGTTTCACCATGTTGGGCCAGGATGATCTCGATCTCCTGACCTCAGGTGATCCACCTGCCTTGACCTCCCAAAGTGCTGAGATGAGATTACAGGAGTGAGCCACTGTACCTGGCCCAGGAAGGGATTTACTAAAGGGATATCGAATCACTGGAAGAGCCAAAGAAAGAAATCCCAGACTTAACTCCTTGGAATGAATATAAAATGTACACTGTATAAGTCAATGATCAAGGAGATGGCTGCCTCTACCACAATCATTCCTACTAAAGCAGGGAGCCACTAAACCAGTCAGTGTGCCTCTGCGTCAGCTGCCAGCTCCATAGGTATGTGTCCTCTGTCACATCAGGAAGCAGCTGAAATCAGGAGCCACTTCCAGAGATAATAGCTCCAGGATTTTTCTAAAAGAACCAAGAATTGAACTATGCTTTGATACAGCAATCCCATTACTGGTATATACCCAAAGGAAAATAGATTATTCTACCAAAAAGACACATGCACCTGTATATTCATTGCAGCACTATTCACAATAGCAAAGACATGAAACCAACTCAGGTGCCCATCAATGGTGGATTAGATAAAGAAAATGTCATGCATGTATACCATGGAATACTGCACAGCCATTACAAAGAATGAAATCATATTCTTTACTGCAACATGGATGCAGCTGAAGGTCATTATCATAAGCAAATAATGCAGAAACAGAAAACCAAACACCACCTGTTCTCACTTATAGCTAAACACTGAGTACACATGGACATAAAGATGGGAACAATAGATGCCACAGAATACAAGAGCAAGGAGGGAGGGAGGGATGAAAGGGTTGAAAAACTACCTATTGGGTACTGTGCTCACTTCCCGGGTGACGAGATCAGCCATACTCCAAACCCCAGCATCACACAATATACCTTTGCAACAAACCTGCATGTGTACCTCCAGAATCTAAAATAAAAGTTGAAAAAGAAAAAAAGCTTCCATACCATGCAACTTCTGCCGGGCTCTGCACCTGTAAAACCTGATGCTGTGCACCCTGCCCCTCTCCCAGTTGTCCTCTGTCCCACAGCAAAACCTTGTATGAATGGCCCTTTATTCAAAGGGTCTCCTCAAGTACACGGATAAAGGGGAACTAAATCACATCCAGAACCTTAGCTGCAATGGAGTTTGCAAAATGTCATTTTTAATCTTTCCAGACTGTGTGAGAGAAAGAGGTTGGAGTGAATATTGAACAAGAAAATGTACATATCTACTATGCTGACATTTTATATTTGATGTTGGGAGCCTCAGCTGCATTAGCCAATACTAATTTTCATTGTTGTTTAATCGTTGTTTTAAACTGAAAAAAATCTCTTTCTTTTTGTCAGGTGTTTCAATACTTTATCAGCAGAGTGCGTCAGAAGCTGCACATTGTTCTCTGCATGAGCCCGGTTGGGGAGGCCTTTCGGTCCCGATGCAGGATGTTTCCATCTCTTGTGAACTGCTGCACCATTGACTGGTTTGTGCAGGTTGGTGACATCCCAGGATATCTCTCTGAGAAGTTGGACTTGCATGACTTTAAAGGGGTAACACATTGTCCAAGAGTAACTCATGGGTACTTGTATTTGTATTAGCTTTAAAGCCTACTAGGAATTTATTCACATAGGGAATGACCACGGCAATCATAGAACAAAGACAAAACAAAATTTGTAAAGGAAGAGAAGACCACTGAAGTTAGCAATGTGGCAATTATCTGTTGACAAGGTTTATTTCAATGGATGGTGGGGGAAAGGGTTCAAGAGAGAAGAGGGAAGAGAAATCTGAGTTATGATTATAGGCAACACGTTCGAGTTTTGCCCCAAAAGAAAGCAGAGAGATGGGGTAAGAGCTAGGGGATATGTGAGGTTAAGAGGGAAGTATTTTTAAATGTGAAACACAAGTAGCATGCACGTATGCTGACGTAAATGACCCAGAAAAGATAAATATATTGATGATGCAGCATACCAAGTTAAGCACTGTGGGACCAGTATCCTTGAGTAAGCAAGAAGGGATGAGATCAAGTCATCAGTGATGGTGCTGACCTGGTCAGGGACCATCCACAGCCTACTCCTGAGTAACAAGTGGGTAAGCAGAATATATGAGCACAGAGGCAGGCAGGTGGGAAGATATGGAGGTAAGAGCTCATTGAAGTTCTGTTTGCATTGCTGTTATTTTTTAGTAATACGAGTAGCAAGGTCATCAGCTGAGAGTGAAGAAGAAAGACTGTCAGCAGTCTGAAGAAGTAGAATCAGGTGTGAAATTCTGAGGAGAGCACAAAACTGATGTATTAGGAAATGTAGAAGCATTTCTGGGCTGCACTAAGAGCTAATTATCTTAAATTTAAAGTGATACTAATCAGCAAGGTTGTGTGTTTTTCTCCAGCCATGCTCAGCTGCACAGTTGTAGGCATAGAGTAAAAGACTTGCATTTGACCCATGTTCAGGTGAGTTCAAAGAAGCAAGAGAGGAGTAAAGGAGTTGAGGTGTGCAGGACCATAATTATAATGCTGGACATGAGGTCCCAACTATGTAACAAACAGAATGAGGACATAAAGTCCCTGTAGCATATGTGATTTATTTAGGGAATTCTAGAGACACCCAATCATTAATTCATTCAGTCAACAAATATGTATTGAACAACTTCTGTGTGCATGGTACTGTGGAGACATACTGATCAGCAAATACAGACCCAGGCACCCCTCAAATGGACAGAGCCATTCAGTTCGTTAAGCACCGTAGACATGCGTATGCGTTAGCTAGGTGAAGAGGGGACTGGGCAAGGAGGAGTTCATGAGAAATATGTTTTTCTTTTTCTTTTTCTTTTTTTTTTGAGACAGTCTTGCTCTGTCTCCAGGTGCCAGGCTGGAGTGCAGTGGCTCAATCTTGGCTTACTGCAACCTCTGCCTCCCGGATTCAAGCAATTCTCCTGTCTCAGCCTCCTGAGTAGCTAGGACTACAGGTGCGTGCCACCACACCCAGCTAATGTTTGTATTTTTAGTAGAGATGGTGTTTCACCATGTTGGCCAGGATGGTCTCGATCTCTTGACCTCATGATCCACCCGCCTCAGCCTCCCAAAGTGCTCAGATTACAGGTGTGAGCCACCACAAGCAGCCCTAGAAATATGTTTTTCTTAGTATTAAACTGTATGTTATCGAAATGACACAACGGATTTTCTAGATTTTTTTCTTTATTTACAGTGGCCCAGAGAAGCACTTCTTTCTGTGTCAAAGACATTTTTCTCACAAGTCGATGCTGGAAGTGAAGAACGGAAAGAAAAGCTTTCCTTGATGTGCGTGAACGTTCACTTGAGTGTCTCCAGCATGGCAGAGCGCTATTACAATGAACTGCGCAGGCGGTACTACACAACACCCACCTCCTACCTGGAGCTTATCAATCTTTACCTGTCTATGCTGTCTGAAAAAAAGAGGCAGATCATTTCAGTAAGTTCAATATTGTCCATGAGTATGTTGTTTTGCTTGAACTCAAAACTTCTGAGAATGCGTGGAAACTCTTTGCACTGTCTTACCTGTCAGAGCCCTGTGTTAGCCCATTATCACACTGCTTATAAAGAAATATCTGAGATTGAGTAATTCATAAGAAAAGAGATGTAATTAACTCATGGTTCTGCAGGCTGTACAGGAAGCATAATGCTGGCATCTGCTCAGCTTTGGAGGAGGCCTCAGGAAACTTTCAATCATGGCAGAAGGCAAAGAGGAAACAGGCACATCTTATGTGGCAAGAGCAGGAACAAGAGAGAGAGGGGGGTGGTGCCACAAACTTTTAAACAACCTGATCTCACAAGAACTCACCATCACAATGACAGCACCAAGTGGGGGATGGCATTAAACCATGAGAAATTGCCCCCATGATCCAATTACCTCCCACCAGGCCCCACCTCCAGCATTGGGGATTACATTTCAACATGAGATTTGGGTGGGGATCCAAACCATATAAAGCCCTCTCCATCCTGACATGTGTCCCTGACAACCTAAAATATGACCCAAAAATGTTTCCTGCTCTTGGTGTTAGGGCCTTCTCCTTTCTCAATAATTATATTTTCCTTCTTTCATTTATGCAAGTATCCTTGACTCAGTAGAATGATATGGGCATCACAAGACCATCAAAGTTATGTGGTGAGCTAGTCATCTCTGTGGTGTTTAATACAGAGGTAAACATTTTTGTTAAGCAACAAAGCTAGTGTTAAAGAACATGTGTTAAAGAACATGTGTCAGTGGTTCTGACTAAGAGCAAGGGCTGGGTTATCAGCCAGACTATATACAGCCTATGTTCTGTCTCTAGGTGTGCAACTTTGAGCACATTAGTAACTTCTCTAAGCCTTAGTAGAAAATAAAGCTAAAAAAAAAATCTATATCTACCTCTTGGATTGTTGTGGAATTTAAGAGACTGTTAGTGAATTCCTGGAACTATGACCTGACACATATAAAATGTTCAGAAAATAGAAACTGCCATCATCATCATCATCATCAGGATATTAACATGACCTACAATTTACTACATTTTAAACACACTAAAAAGGGAAGCACAATGTAGATATTTAAATTTTTTCAGAGGATATTTACCTGATAAAATGCTTGCTTCATGAAATAACTTAACTGATATTTTCTAAATCTGCCCATTTGAGCCAAGCTTTCTGACTCCCCTTCAAAAAACAGTTCTTTGGGGGTTGGATCCAAGATGACCGAATAGGAACAGCTCTGGAGTGCAGTTCCCAGGGAGAATGCAGAGGGTGAGTGATCACTGCATCTCCAAACAATTTTTTACTGCCCACAGATCAGGAGATTCCCAGGCAGAAAAGCACCACAGGTCTCCAGCATGGCTGTTGCAGCTGGCACAGCAGGTCTCCACAAAAAAACTCACACAACTCTGGGCAATCTTTTCAACTAGCACCTGGAATTCTTTGGAAACAGTCACCCATTCAACTGAAAAAAAGGGGGCTGAATCAGGGAGCCAGGTGATGTGGCACAGCGAGTCAAAGACTAGCAATCTGAAATGCTCTGGATTGAAAGTTTCACAGCAAGCACAGCTGGACCTGAGGTGGTCCAGCTCTGTGGAGGGAAGGGCATCCACCATAACCAAGGCAGTCCACCATTACTGAGGCAGTCTACCATTACTGAGGTAGACTGCCATTACCGAGGCAGTTCTAACTATACCTCTATAGTTAGAACTATAAAACCACAGGGAAGTACACACAGCAGCTGGGCAGAGCCCATGGGAGCTCAGCAATGCCTCTGCTGGCAGACTGTGACTAGGCTATCTCCTCACTGTGCAGGGCATCTCTGAAAAAAGGCAGCAGCACATCAGGAACTTATAAATAAAGCTCCACCTTCCCAGAACAGAGAACCTGAGAAAAAAAGGCAGTTGAGTTCTACTGCAGCAGACTTAAATGTACCTTCCAGCAATTCTGAATGGAACAATGGAGCTCACCGCCCAGCACATGAGCTCCTATATGGGACAGACTGTCTCCTCAAGCAATTCCCCGACCCCCGTATATCCAAAGAGACACCTCATAAAGGAGATCTCAGGCTGACATCTGGCGGGTGTCCTTCTGGGACAAAGATAGCACAAGAAGAAACTGGCAGCAACCCTTACTATTCTGCAACCACTGCAGGTGATCCCCAAACAAGCAAGGTCTAGAATGGACCTCCAACAGAGGGGCCGGACTGTTAGAAGGAAAACTAAAAAACAGAAAGAAAGAAATAATTTCATCATCAACAAAAAGGACCTCCACTCAGAGACCCCAACCGAAAGTCACCAACTACAAAGACCACAGGTAGATAAATTACAAAGATAGAAAGAAACCAGCACAAAAAGGATGAAAACACCCAAAACCAGAATGTCTCTCCTCCTCCAAGGGATAACAACTCCTCACCAGCAAAGGAACAAGGCTGGATACAGAATTAGTCTGATGTATTGACAGAAACAGGCTTCAGAAAGTGGGTAATAACAGACTTCTCTGAGCCAAAAAAAAACAAAAAACAAACAAAAAAAAAACGTGTTTTAACCCAATGCAAAGAAACTAAGAACCCTGAAAAAAGGTTTGACAAAATGCTAATGAGAATAAACAGCTTAGAGAAGAATATAAATGAATTGATGGAGCTGGAAAACACAACACAGGAACTTCACAAAGCATACACAAGTTTCAATAGCCAAATTGACCAAGCAAAAGAAAGGATATCAGAGATTGAAGATCAACTCAACAAAATAAAGCAAGAAGGCAAGTATAGAGAAAAAAGAGTGAAAAGAAATGAACAAATCCTCCAAGAAATATGGGATTATGTGAAAAGACGTAATCTACGTTTGATAGGTGTATCTGAATGTGATGGAGAGAATGAATCCAAGCTGGAAAACACTCTTCAGGATTTTATCAGGAGAACTTCCACAACCCGGCAAGCCAGGCCAATATTCAAGTCCAGGAAATACAGAGAACACCACAGAGATATTCTTCAAAAGAGGAACCTCAACGCACATAATCATCAGATTCACCAGAGTTTAAATGAAGGGAAAAATGCTAAGTGTAGGCAGAGAGAAAGGTCAGGTTACCCACAAAGGGAAGCCCATTAGACTTACAGCATATCTCTCAGCAGAAACCTACAGGCCAGAAGAGAGTAGGGGCCAATATTCAACATCCTTTAAAAAAAGAACTTTCAACCTAGAATTTCATATCCAGCCAAACTAAGCTTCATATGTGAAGGAGAAATAAAATCCTTTACAAACAAGCAATTGCTCAGAGATTTCATCACCACCGGGCCTGCCTTACAAGAGCTCCTGAAAGAAGCACTAAACATAGAAAGGAACAACCAGTACCAGCCACCCCAAAAATGTACCAAATAGTAAAGAGCATTGACACAATGAAGAAACTGCATCAACTAATGGGCAAACCAGCCAGCTAGGACCAAAATAGCAGGATCAAATTCACACATAACAATATTAACCTTAAATGTAAATGGGCTAAATGCCCCGATCAAAAGACACAGACTGGCAAATTGGATAAAAAGTCAAAACCCATCAGTGTGCCGTATCCAGGAAACCCATCTCATGTGCAAGGATACGCATAGGCTCAAAATAAAGGGATGGAGGAAGACTTACCAGGCAAATGGAGAGCAAAAAAAAGCAGGAGTTGCAATCCTAGTCTCTGATAAAATAGACTTTAAACCAACAAAGATCAAAAGAGACAAAAGGGCATTCTTTTTTTCTTTTTTTCTTTTTATTTTTTTTTTGAGATGGAGTTTCGCTCTTGTTACCCAGGCTGGAGTGCAATGGCGCAATCTCGGCTAACCGCAACCTCCGCCTCCTGTGTTCAAGCAATTCTCCTGCCTCAGCCTCCTGAGTAGCTGGGACTACAGGCGCACACCACCAAAAAGGGCATTCTTTAATGGTAAAAGGATCAATACAACAAGAAGACCTAACAATCCAAAATATATATGCACCTAATACAGAAGCACCCAGATACATAAAGCAAGTTCTTAACAACCTACAAAGACACTTAGACTCCCACACAATAATAGTGGGAGACTTTACCACTCCACTGTCAATATTAGAAAGCTCAATGAGGCAGAAAATTAACAAATAGACCAATAAGAAGGGCTGAAGTTGAGGCAGCAATTAATAGTCTACCAACCAAAAAAAGCCCAGGTCCAGATGGCTTCACAGCCGAATTCTACCAGACATACAAAGAGGAGGTGGTACCA